ATTCAAGCGATTTTCAAGAAAAAATAGATATTCTAAAAGAGTTTCGATTATCAAAAAACAATTTTCAAACATTTACAGAACTTGAACAATGTAAAAATCATATTCAAACGACTCCTTCACAACATCGAATTACTTTAATTATTAGAGATTATTTTAGTCAACAATTAATACCGGAAATTCATGATCTTGTACAAATTTCTTCAATTTATATATATTGTACAAATGAACAATGTCATTATTCATGGATTGAAAAATATCCTAAAGTAATTCTTCTTATTTGATGATTCTATTAGTACTAATCGAAAGTCTTTTCTTTTTTTGTTTTTGACATTAGGTAAAAGGTTTTTATCAAAGACTCGATATTTTGTTCAATAAAATACTATCTGATCAATCTCGAATACCATTAAGTAGATCTGATGAACAAATATCAATCAGTATTTTTGATTCGAAATTTAGTTCTGAACAATCCACAACCGGTATTGATGGTAGTTTTGTACAATACCAATTATTAATTGATTGTCTTCTTAAAATGAAAACTACTTCAACAGATAAAAGTGATTTTATTTTAAAATATCTGGAATATTATAAAGATAATAAGCAAGAACTAGAAAATATTGACCAATTCAAGAAAGAGTATACATCGGGATGTGCATTGTGGTGGTATACGAAAGATACGTTTCTCTATCGTTTATTGAATAAAGCACTTCGTCTTCAAGATATTGAATTACTCTATCTATTTGGTTTTTTTATTCGTGATCTTGAACAAGAACTTCGACAATGGCAATATTTATCACCTATTAATGTCTATCGAAGTCAATGGATGTCTATTGAAGAAGTAAAATTATTAGCAAATTCAATCGATCAATTGATTTCGATTAATTCATTCTTTTCAACAACCTTTAGTCAGAATGTAGCTTTTGCGTATTTGGGTTCATCTAATAGTGATGATAAATTACAAAGTGTTTTATTTGAGATCGAAGCTGATCCTTGTAAAGATGGCATGAAGCCATTTGCGGATCTTTCAGAAATCAGTTGGTTTAATTACGAACAAGAAGTATTAATGATGTTAGGATCAATCTTTCGTCTGAAAAGTGTTCTACGTGATGAGGAAAATCATCGATGGCATATTAAAATGATTTTATGTAGTGATAATGATTGTGATGTACAAAAAATCTTTCACCATATGAAAGAACAATATGGTTCGAGTAATACAAGATTAGTCTTATTCGGAAATGTTCTTATCGATATGGCTAAATTTAATGAAGCTGAGCAATATTTAGAGCGATTATTAAAACAGTTACCATCGACACATAAAAGTGTTTATAAATGTTATCATTCTCTTGGAAAAATATCGTTTGAAAAAGGTGATTATGATCGAAGTCTGAAATATTTATGTGAATGTCTCAATTTTCTATCGAACTTAAAATTAAATGATTCTCGAATCGCATACATTTATAATAGTATGGGAGAAGTTTACCATAAGAAAGGTGAAATTAAACAAGCATTAGAATTATTTGAAAAGGCATTAGAAGTTTTCCAGCAAAATTTTACTGAAAATCATGAATCTTCAGCTTGGTGTTACAATAATTTAGGTATGATTTATCTAGAAATGAAAAATTATAAACAAGCATCGGATTATCTGAAGAAAGCATTAGATATAAAAACAAAAGTACTTCCTCATGGACATCCCTGTTTAGGTAATACATATACTAATCTTGGTAATGCATATTACTATCGCCATGAATACGATGAAGCATTACGCAATTATAAAATATCGTATAAAATTTTCAAAAGATCTCTTAATCCTGGACATCCTTCAATCGCAAGAGTACTCAAGAATATAGGCTTGATATATGAAGTTCAACAAAACTTGACTGAAGCAAAAAAGATTTATGAACACGGACATGCGATTCGTAAATTTTGCTTACCTCAATGTCATCCTGATTTGAATGAAATTGAGAACCCATGTCGTGAGAATCACCACAATTTTCGCGATTTTCTAAAAAATTGGCGTAAAATCGTGATTTATCGTATTTCTTTAGAAGACTGACGATTATATCAGATTTTATCACGATTATGAGAGAAGAGCTGATTTTCAAAAATCATTGATAAATCATGACAATTATTCATTCACCGTTTTGTTATGAACACACACGGATATATAAACAACGCCGTTCAATGCATAACAAATAAGTTTTCGAAATATACTTTTCTGGTAAATTATTTCTTGGTTATTTTTAATCAAGGAAATGCCAATCCCGATCCATGATCTGGAGAGGACTACACTGAAGCGGTCTGATAAGAATCGGACCAGCTCGAGATCGGACAGATCGCACGATCTGATCGGTTTGGATCTTGAGAACAAAAAAAATTGAATTAAATTCAAGAAAAATTTCAAATATGTGTCTCCAAATGAACCAATGAAATAGTAGAAAATATCAGTAAACAGACGGCTAAATCTTGCATAAAATCACGATTTATCGTAAAAATCGCTGAAATAATCGGGAATAATCGGCGATTCTATCGCGATTCAGCTCACGATTATCGTTTCGATGAATCGGGATTAATCGGCAATTTTTAGCCGATTCAAAGGACATGGGATCCTAGATATTTCACAAAAATGAATGTTTCACCATTTTTCACAGATAAGTTCAAATGAGCTGAAACTTTTGATTTAGAGGTTTCGCGGCATGGGCTTTCATCTCAAACAATCAAATCAATCATTTGGAAGAAAATCACCAATCTTTATAGTTAGAATCGGGCCCAAATTTGGCCTTTCTAATCTTGTTCAAAAAATTTTCGCTACGAAAGTTCAATACCACAAAATTCTGAAAACGTCAGTCGATGCATTTTGATGTGCTCTTTCTGATGAGACTACTCTCGATTTATTCTAGAGCACTGATTCGACCAATTTGCCATATCTACGTGAGGACGTTTTCTGAAAATAATATATAATGCTACGCAAAAATCATCCAGTGATGAGATACTTTTATTACCATAATAATATAGCCCATCGTCAGTAGTATTTATGATAAAAAAATCTCAGTGATATCTCTTGTTCTTCTCGAAATAATAGAGATTTACTGGAAAGTATTGCACTATAAAGTTCTCCAAATGGGACCCATCCTATCATACTTGTATCGTCTATATCTTCAAAATAGCTTATCCGTTTGAGCTGAAATTTTCAGTTTCTTTCTAAGACTCTCAGGCCTACCTATGGTAAAAATATCAGCCAAATCGGTGAGATCGATTGAGCAACGTTGGTCGTGGCTTACGTGCAATGCCTCCTAAAGAACAAAGAGGAATGAAAGGTTCGCATATTATACAAAAAAAATGTAAAACGGCATAAAATAAATTTTTCGTGGACCCCTTGATATAAGAATTCGAAATAAATAACTACTACAAATTTTATTTTCATGTGCACCTGTTGCGCTGTGTCATTTACATTATACTTTTGCCATTTCAGATCAAAGTTAATATTTGCTGGTGGCCTTTGAAGATTTGTTTTCATTTAATGTAAATATAATCTTTCTATTCTTTGAGA